TAAAGATATATATCTTTTTATTTTTGAAGGGAAAATAAAAGTAAATAACTCGGTGGGACAAGGAATGTATGTAGTAAAAAGCAACTAACATGACTGTTAGGAATAGAATCCCAGAGGACCTGGCAAGGAATTACACTCCCTCAAGGGTAAATCTCAAAGGCATACTGGCAGGCAGTGAGGTAAGGGCCCTGAGCTGAAGCCAATTAGTGCTCAGTAAACAAACGGGAGCATTTTGCTTTCTGCCCAATTTCAGTCCTGCCTTCCAAGCAGCTTGTGTGATCAGTTCTTAAGGAAAAAAATAAAAGTTCAAATTCCCATAGTAATTCAGTTTGCAAAGTGGATTCTATGTGATTTGTGGAGGAACAGAGTGTTTTGTTTTGTTTTGTGTCAGGGCTTCTGAAGGACAATTTCAGAAAAATGTGCTGAGTCATGAATCCCTAAGGATGCAAGATTTTGACAAGAACGTGCATGGGGGAGGGCAAGAGCTGTGACAGAAGGCTCATTCTCCTTCTAAATGAGACTCTTCAGGACAAACACATACCCCACACCTGGGACCAGGAACACTGGATACTCCCCCTGGGTACTGAGAAGCCACACACTCACTAAAGAATAATGACCACAACAAAAATAATAATAGCTAATATTTACTGAACATGTGCCAGGTATACATATGGGTTATCTTATTCAATTCCCACAATAGCCTTATGACGTGTATGACAAATGAGAAGACAGGCTTTGAGAGGCTAAATAATTTGCTGACAATCGCCCAGCCACAGGAACTGGGCTGGGATTTGAACCCAGGAATCAACCCTAATAAGTACATACACTGTCTCTCCAAGTATTATCCATGTATTATTCACAGATCTTGGATCATTTTAACTGATCGTAGTTAAACTCCTTACTCAGAGGCATCTTACTAACTGGCATTCTTCAGACACAATCAACTATAGAACAAAAGATCCCAAGATTGTTAATATTAATGAAGGAGAAATTATATGGCATTGCTCATGTAAGTTGTGTATTTATGTGTTTAATATAACACTCCTTCCAAGTCAAAGAAAAAAGGACACATTCTTCTATTAAAAACAGAGCTCTTCATTTCCTGTAACGTCCTGAGTTGAGATAATCCTACAGTGATTACTAGAAGTTGAGGCTGTCTGAGGTCACGGGCCTTTCTGGCCAGTACAAGACAACTGCCATCCTACTTGGCCATGACCTCCCAGAGCAGGAACTCCTGATTCCTGGGACTGTTTCTCATGGGGACTTTAAAAGTTGGTGGCTGAACCTTCTCCCCTGAAGACACGGTCACCCTAGAGAAAATTAGATCACCAACCGGCTTCTAGGAGGCCCATCAGAGACAGAGGAGAGAGAGAGAGAGAGAGAGAGAGAGAGAGAGAGAGAGAGGGAGAGAGAGAGAGGAAGGAGAGAAAGCAGGAAGCAGAAAGCAGAAGTGAGGAGATGTTAGAGTCAGTGAAGACTTTCTTATTTCATATATTTCCCCAAATCAGCCCCAAGCACTTGGAATGTCAAGAGATATCTTGAGTCACAAAAGAAAAATCGTATTCTAATCAATAAAATTCCATTATTAAATGGGTTTTTTAAATGCTTAGGAAATAGGCAAGTCAAGAATAATTACTTACATAAACAAGACTCCTCTATTCCCTAAAGGACTGGCTTTATAGCAACCGTTCCAGCTAGGCCCCATTTCCTAGCCACGTTAGAAATCAAAGGGTTTGCTAGAAACCTTTCTCATTTTGCTTTTGGAAATTACTTGTGTATGTTGTTTATGTCGTGGCAATTATGTTTCATACCATACAAAGAGGGTCATAAACCCCATCTCACAGGGCTATTATGAGGGATGAATAACATAATGTGATTGGAACAGACCAAGAATTCCATTAATGAGTAGCAAGATCAATACTAATAATTCCAAAGGGGCGTCCATCTCCCTTTCCTCAAAAGGATTCTGTAGGACTGATATTTTAGCTTTTTGGAAGGCAATGGTCAAAATGGTTTAGCAAATTGACTTTTGAATATGCTAATATCTATATCACCAGATTCTGGATCTGAAGTGAAATCAGATAATTCATATTTTTACATTCAAGTAAAGTATGACTGTAATTCGGGGGGCTAAGAAAAATAAAAGCAACCACACTGAGGCAAAACAAACAAAAAGTATTTTATTGTAACTTAAAATTCATTCCCTAGACAATGGATAATGCACACGCTGGAAGACATTAGCAGACATGGTAAAGACGCACTTGGACAAGTATCAACATTGATGAATGTGGGGATGGCATAAAAGTTAAGAAAAGGGCTTCCCTGGTGGCACAGTGGTTGAGAGTCCGCCTGCCGATGCAGGGGACGCGGGTTCGTGCCCCGGTCCGGGAAGACCGCCCATGCCGCGGAGTGGCTGCGCCCGTGAGCCATGGCCGCTGAGCCTGTGCGTCCGGAGCCTGTTGCTCCGCAACGGGAGAGACCACAACAGTGAGAGGCCCGCGTACCGCACAAAA